GCAAAGAGAAAATCAAAGTGACACCTGCATTCCTGAGAGAGAAAAAAATACTGAGCCCGTCAAGTGATACCCAAGTTCAATTGCTGCGCAAGCTTAGGGGTGGCTTGGCGGCTTTCTCATTTGCAGCGCCTCGTGCCTACTCCGCTGGAAAGGGCTCCCTTTCCTTCCGCCTTACACATCGCCCAGCTCGAAGGAAACTCATTTGAGATTGGCTCAACAGGCGATGTCAAAACCCTTTCAGGGAAAATATAGGTAGCCCTGGCCTCCCGCATCTCTCCCCATTATTTTCTTGAATTCTTTCTGTGTTTCCTTGTCGCTTTCTTTCTTTCTTTCTTTCTTTCTTTCTTTATTTCTTTCTTTCTTTCTTTCTTTCTTTCTTTCCTTCCTTCCTTCCTTCCTTCCTTCCTTCCTTCCTTCCTTCCTGCCTCCTTTCTTTCTTCCTTCCTGTCCTGTCCTGTCCTGTTCTTTCCTTTCCTTTCCCTTCCTTTCCTTTCCTTCCTTCAAATACTTTGTTTGCTTCTCTGTGTCTGTTTTTTCTTTCCGTCTCATTTTTTCTCGTTCTTTCCTTTCTTTTCTGCGTCTTGACCTCTGTCTTTCTTTCGTTCTCTTCCTTTCTCCCTCCCTCCCTCTCTCTCTCTCTCTCTCTCTCTCTCTCTCTCTCTCTGGAAAGGCCTCAAAAAGGTTGGCCCGATCCGGGGGGAGGTCCAAGTCGTCCATCAGGGCCTGCACCGAGCGGTCCTGTATCACCTTGGTCCAGGCGAATTGCTCCGAGTGCAGACAGTTTCCTCTTGGCCTTTTGCCTCCATCGTGATTTCGAAGCCTCTGGAAGGCCATGCCCAGTTTGAAAAACATCCTCCAGTTGGCTGTGGCTCAAAAAACCGGTATTCCAAAATGGGTTGCCCTGGTAAGTGGAAACATGGACCAAAACCTGCGGTTTGCCCCTCCTGCTTAATTTTGAGCCACACCCAGTTTGAAAAACCCACATTTCGTAGGATGCAGGAGTGGTTTTCACTTGCGGTAGCCCAAAAAGGCTTTTGCTTTCCGGCTGACAACGCCGTGTTGCTCAGCGAGCGTCGCCTTCGGTTTTTTCCCAGGGTGCTCCCCACTAGTGCTCGTGCTACATGGATAGACAACCACTCTGGTTGCATGTTGCCGAAGGGAACCTTTTGCTTGCATGGGCACCCAAAAAATTGGAGGCGACCTTCAGAAGTCTTCAGACTCAGGGCAAGAAGCCGAAAGAAGTACCCCTGACAGCATCGGCCCAAAGAATTCCATCTCGGAAGCTCCGGAACCCTCCCGGAAACCGCAGGGCTGCCCCAACACGGCATTGGCGGATTGACCACAAAGCTGTCTCTGTCGGGGCAAGAAGGAAAAGGAATCCACAAAAGCCGCACAAAACGTCGCCTTTTGGCTGGGGGGCACATTCTGGAAATAAAAATCCAATTCTCTTACCAGCCAGGAGGCCATCCTATACCTCCTGGCTGACATGATCAGCTCTCGTCCCAGCCGCTCAAAAAAACTTGCAACCGACACGCCGCAAGACAAAGCTGAAAACACATACTGTGGATGGATGAAAGCCGTTTGCACCACTTTGAAACCATGGTTGAAACCATTGCTTGCTGGTATGTACCAGAAAATCATCATAGGCTTGCTGAAGGATGTTTCTTTGGGCAAGGCTTCGAGGCTCAAGGTGACTCTGAAGGTCACTTGTGCAAATCATGAGGGCTGCTCAGAACCTTTCGCATTTGGAACGGGTAAGTCTAATTCGGACCAAACATTGAGGGCGGAACATTCAAGGCTTCCAGCAGTTCCTACAACCCCGAGCGAGCAGTGCAATCATGTAGCTGCTACCTCTAGCCTCCAGAGGCAAATGGTATGAAGGCCAAAGCCACTTGGACCTTCCCTTGATTGCTCCGCAGTGAGCCGACCTGCTCAAACATAGCCTCCTTTAAGCTCTGAAGGGTAAGGACCTGGTTGTTTGAACCAGTCTTGCCCCTAAGACCCCGGAGCAAGGGCACGCAGTGTTTTGTTTAAAGGGCCTCAATAAATTGGAATGGGGTTTTGGGGTGCTTTGAAACCAAATCTAGTCATGATTGCCCGCTGAACTATCACGCCGCTTGTTCGGAGCCTCGCGCTCAATCGGCGCAAAACATGACAATCTACGGAACCCAAACTTGGTGCCCAAGTTTTGTCCCTACGCCCAATCTGCTCGCGGCATGGAAGCGTCGGTTAGATTTGGGTAGGAACCTCCAGGTGCCGCTGATTAGTTGCTTTACACCCCAGTTTGGAAGAACACGCACGACAAAGGGCTCTGAGAACAAAAGCTCAAGCCAAATTAAAACGACTAGCGAGACCCCTCTGCAAAAAATCAAGCGTGCTGCGGGTTCAAGTCGGAAAATTCCAGTGTGTCAACCAAGGAAAGTCCAAAGATCCGTTTCCAAATACACATAAAGGTGTTGGGGTACCCGTTTTGTTTTTTAAAAGGGAGACCATAACGGAAATCCAAACGGAAATCCCATCTTGCCAACAAGTCAAAGTCAAAAGAACCGTTGCCAAAAAGTTGAAGTCCAAAGATCCGCTACCAAAAAGTTGAAGTCGAAGATTCGCTACCAACAGGTCCAAGGATCCGCTACCAAAAGGTTGAAGTCCAAAGATCCGTTACCAACAGGTTGAAGTCCAAAGATCCGTTGCCAACAGGATGAAGTCCAAAGATCCGTTACCAGCAAGTTGAAGTCCAAAGATCCGTTACCAAAAATTTGAAGTTCAAAGATCCGTTACCAAAAAGTTGAGGTCCAAAAATATGTTACCAAGAAGTTGAAGTCCAAAGATCCGATACCAAAAGTTAAAGTCCAAACTTCCGTCAACAAAAAGTTGAAGTCCAAAGATCCGTTGCCAACAAGTTGGTTTCCAAAGATCCATTACCAAAAAGTTGAAGTCCAAAGATCCGTTTCCAAAAGTTGAAGTCCAAACTTCCGTTACCAAAAAGTTGAACTCCAAAGATCCGCTACCAAGAAGTTGAAGTCCAAAGATATGCTACCAAAACATTGAAGTGCAAAGATCCGCTACCAAAAAGTTAAAGTCCAAGGTTCCGTGTCCAAATAATACATATTATCGCTTCAAAACAAGCCAAAGATCCGTCACCACAAAGTTAAAGTCCAAGAATCCGTGTCCAAGCAATACATAAATTGCAAAAAAAAAAAAAGAGATCCGTCACCAAAGAGCCATACAGACTCCATCTGGCAGTTGCAGTTTTCCGAGGCGCCACCAGAAAGAGCTCCTTGGAGATCTCGATCTGCTCGTGGACGTCGTCGTCGGTGAAGAGGGCAGGCATGGGCTTGAAGTTCTTGTTGTTGATGTCTGCCAGGTCACCTCTCCGCACATCCAGCGCGGGGCTGGGGAGCTTGGGGGCTTGGGGGCTTGGGGGCTGGGGGGCTGGAAAGTCTATTTGGGCGGCCCTCCCTCCCAGACCCCACGAAACAGCAGCGAAAGCAAAAACAACGTGAACAAATAAAAGCAAAAGCAACTCTGGCAGCAGCAACAGCAGCAGCGGCGAAGGCAATGATGCCAACAAATGCTTACAAACTGGACTGGGCAATAAAAAACAGCACAAGGTAAACATGGTAGGAGTCTGCTACAGGGTACGAAAGGAAAAGGTTTTTGCCAGGGTGAACGGAAGATCAAGGATCCAGGTGCAGAGGGGGGCAAAGTTGTCTTTGTCAAAACACCCATATGGGTATGGCTCAAAATTAAAGAGCTGGTGCCAACCGCGGGTTTTAGTCTTCAGTTCCATTTGCCTTTTGGTGCCATTTTTGGTCTCCATTTGTTTGAGCCACAGCCTAACATCCCAACACCCATATGGGTATGGGTCAAAATTGAAGCACTAGGGTCTCCCTTACTTTCCCCGAAAGCCTGTCCCATGACGTTCCTTGGTTTTCTCACAAACGGGAAGTACCCTTTCACATTTGGAAACAAAGGCAGCTACCATAAAGGACATGGAAATCACGAGGTTCTCTGATTGAAATCTAGTCAATATCCTGACCAAAACCGAATCTCCCCTCAGTCTGTCCAGGGGCGCCAAGAAAAATGTGTGTGTGCGTGTGTGTTTTCTTGGTTAGAGAATTCCATCGGGATTCGAATGAATTTCGAGCCCTCACCTTCTCCTATGTTTAGGTTCAATGGCGGTGCATAGACCATGTAACGTTGATGCCCCAAGGCTCCCAGCATTTGTTTCCCCTCGAGTCCTGAGTTCCTTGAAAAAGACATGTGGCTTCAATTTGCTGAAACAAACATCTAACTTCTGGTGCAATTAAATAGCGGCAACTTGTTCATACGTGTCTAATAAATTCCCAAGCCAAGAATTTCAGCATTGTCCAACTGATGTAATCCACAGAACTTGGAATATGCCAAGCAAGCGGTCAAACAGCTCATGATAAAAACCCACACAAACATTGAGCTCTTGGTGCGAGCTGTAGATTGGATTCGAATGCCAGGCATGCTCTTACCCAAGCAGACATGCATGCCTCTGGAACGAAATCGCGGAAGACATGCTGCGGCTTCGGCCAATGAGGGCGCCTGTTTGTTTGGAAAGGGAGTTGGGTTACTTCCATCTGCTGAAGTCCCCGGCGAAAAAAGAACGCAAATTTCCAGCAGCAAAGAGATGGATGCCTTTCTAACACCAGTGAGAATACCCAACATGTGTCAAGACTCAGGGAACAAGCTCTGATCAGTGAGGGCCATGAGTGGATCGCTTGGCCGGCAAGAGGGGGGGTTGTTCAGGTCGACCCCTAAAGAGAAACCAGAAGGAAACCTGAAATCCATTTTTTTCAGGCTCTAACTCAAAAACAAAACAAGCAACTTTTGACAACCAGTTGCTTTGGGCTTAAGAACTGGACTCCACTTTTTGGGAGACTGGCTTTCAACTCGCTAGAACCCAAAACCAGGTTTGAGTCGCCAAGTCACAGCCCTCCATGAGCATGAACTCCCGATGCGCCGCGGCGAACCTGGGCCAACTGTCCAAGAAACCTTCCACCACCAAGATGTCCCCCAATGTCAAGTTGGCGCTAGAAATACGCCGAAAGATACTTAAAAGGCCTTTTCTGATTTCCTGGGCCCTTTTCCGACCCACTGATTTGGCATATGGGCCACGGGCCTAGGAGGCAAATGAGCCATACTGCTGCACCCGAAGCGCCAGAGCGACACAGGAACGAAACCCCCCCATCCGTTTTCGGGAATCCCAGAAACGGCTCTCGGGTTGCAAGAAGTGCCAGGAACAGTTCGGTGCTGACCGAGGAAAACCGGAAAAAGGAAACCGATTTCAATGCCCTTGGGCACGCCAAGGGAACCGCAAGCTTTGGGGCAAAGGGCGATGGTCGGGATCCCACCGAATCCAACCATGGTTCGAACGACCTGCTGTTGCTTCTCCTGAAAGCAGTGGTTGAACCATATCTTTTGTTGAACCAATCCCGCCCAAAGGCCGGCCGCTATTGGACATGTCTGTTTTTGAGGGTACGAGGCAACACCAGAATGAAAAATACATCAGTGCAGACCAACAATTTTGAAGGCATCACACACACACACACAAACGCGCGCACACCGAAATAAGGCGAAATGCTAAAATGATGGTCTAATTTGGCTTGTGCCCCAGAACTCCATTCCAATAAGACAATTCTCGTCGCCCGTCGCTCTCTCAAAGTGAACAACATCTTAACATTCATTACGTCATGTTCGCCGTTTTCAAAATCGACACCTCAAATGGCCATGGGAAAACAAACAAGGCACCTTTTGTTTGATACTCGATGCTAAAACGGAAGCCCCTCCAAAAAAACAAAGCAAGTGAACGCCCGAGCCCTTCGGGAAAAATAAAAACTGTTTGGCAAAGAGCTAAGCACGCTTTCATAGTTGGTGGTGGAATCATCTGAACTGGGTCTGTGTCAAACATAAGGCAAAGTGGTTGTCCTTTTGGTCTCGCTTCAAACCTGAGCAGGGGCGAGACCCAAAAAGCAGCCTCCCAAACGGTGGCCTGGGTACAAGACCAGATTCTATGAACATATGGGTGGGTCTCTTCTAGGGTACCCCCAAACAAACAGATTGAGTTGTCTTGTGGTTTCCCTTCAAACCACACAAACATGGGGGGTGCAAACTCAAAACGAGTTGGATTGCCATGTTTCGTCAAGGGAAAAAACATCTTGCAGACACACACACACACACACACACAGAGGCACACACACACACACACACACCGTCACACACTTGAACTCCAGATGGAGAGTGCTAATCTTTCGAGTACAACTGATGAGTCTCGAGTACAACTGATGAGTCTCGAGTACAACTGATGAGTCTCGAGTGGGTGTAGGTTTGGCTTGCAGTCACTTGGTTTCCGTCTAGCAGCGAAAACGTTACAAACTCAACATGAAGCACACACAGCGAGAGAAACAGCGGGCCAAAAGGACTTTGAATCACGCGAGTTGCGCAGGTACGCTGGGATGATCAGTCCCAGTATCACCACCGATGGCAAGTGTCTTCTTTGGCAGGAGACTTGCCATGGTGCTCCTGCCCCCTGTTGCAACGGAAAAAGGTTTTGGTGGCAGGGTTTTCTGCCACTCCGCACACACACGCCCCTCTATGAGGGGCGAGGTTTCTCTTTTCCTGCAGGAAGATCACATGCTCCAACTCGAATCTCTAACGTTGACCAAAATATCCACCACGGCGAGGGGAGCGAGACACAGCCCTAAACCGCTCAGAAGACGGGAACGAGAGATCACCACGTTGAGCGTTGCGAGTGTCGCCATAGAGGACTGAAGCGATTTGCGAAGCAGCCTGGCGATCACCATGAGAAAACGGAGTGGCGTAGGTGAACGTCTCCTCAACTGGAACGGCATCGGAGTTCCGAACTTGACCAAGAGATTGATCATGCGGATAATGAGTTGCGAAGGACTCCATCCGAGACAGAATGCGCTGGTATCCTTGATGTTGCCAGTCACGGATGTCCCATGCCTGGACAGGCTCATTGGGATCAGTCACCCGCTGCCATTCCCGAAAAGAATTTTCAGGTAGATCAGGTACGGCGTCACCGCGGTGCCATCGTTGAGGCTGTCCTGGAGTGTATATCCGCACCCACTCCTGTTCCTGCCAGACCGAATATTCGAGCCATGGGTGCTGCTTCGAATCATCGATGTCCATGTCGAAGTGAGAGGCAAGGATTGTCGCGGGCTCCGATCCAGCTAATAGAGGAACAGGCACCATGCACAACCATGTTCAAACAACAACCAAGCAAGATCATGCAAGTGTAGAGACCACCCTTATTTTGTACGCTGCGCCACTCATGCGAGTCTAGTCCTCAGTCAGCTCGAAGATGGGACTCGCCTTGTCCGTGCCGCTGTCGGAAGGATTCACGGGCCGGTAGGGCTCGGAGACCCCAATCGTCTCCGATGGTGTGTTTCCACGCGATGCACGTACTGGCTGATGAGGTTGGGAAGCTTGACGTGCGCGAGCTGTCAGTTGTTGAGAAATCCCCTCCTGGAGACGAGTCAGCTCTTCGGTAGAGAAATCAGCCGCATCCGAGGACCTGAGAATCGCGTCTAACAGCTCCGGTGACATACTCAATGCCGCAGACTGCGTGGCCACGCTGTGATGATCAGGAAAATACATGGAATCAAATTCATGACCAGCGTGAGGGGCAGCGACTCTCCGATAGCCCTCTGTGGCCCAGTCTCGTTTGTACCACGTGGTGACTTGGACCTGCCCACCGACTGAGTCCTGGTTGGGAGCATAGAACTCCCTCCATTCTCTAAAAGTATGCGGAGGAGGTGGAGCATCATGTTCTTCATGTGGTGTCCATGGTCCCGGATGAAAGATCTTGACCCACTGGGCATCTGGTTGTTGAGGGTCCGGACACCATTCCAGCCACGCCATGACAACGCAACCACGGAAAGACAAATTGATAGGTGTACGGCTGCAGACAACAATGAGTGCAAGCGAAACAACAATCACAATGCAAAAGACCACTTTTGCAGCACTGCGCGGCTCCAGCATCGAAGACAATCTCCCGAATCGAATTGAACTGGACAAACTCCCCAGGAAGGCGAGGACGGGCATCAGCCATCATGTGAATTGGATGATGCCGAGGAGGAGGTCAGTCCAGCATACATGAGGTCCGGTGCGCCCGAAGCGAAAACTGGCCTCGCGATGCTGGGGCGTGGACGACCCAGACGTTGGTATCCCCTGGTGACCCAGTCCCTGTAATACCAAGTATAGAAGGTTGCATAGGATACCGGTTGCGAAACAGTGCCTGTGGTGGTGCCGCCCGTACTTTCCCTAGGCCAATACACTTCGAAGTGGTGGACCTTGCGCCATTCCCGATAGGTGTTTGAGTCATCCGGGGCCGGTCCCAGGGTGTTCGCGGCGACTGGATGCCACTGACCCGGTACATAGATCCGAATCCATTCCACACTCGTGTTTGCTGGCCCATTGACGATGTCGTAGTCAAAATAGCGAGGTAGGACCCATCGTGCTGCGCCATGCACTGTACTATTGAACATTTCAACCCGGCAAGCCGCTCAAAGTCATAAAGGAAAGCGGCGAACAAATAGAGACGGAATGTACACCACCAAGCAAGACAACCCAACGTGGACTCACATACAAAGCAAGCACAACCGCATCTTTATCCGACATGCTACTCAAGTGTCACTCCGAATCATTCCAAGGATCATGGAATGGTGGCGGTGACGGCTCCCGCCACGCCCCATCCGGCACCGATGAGCCCACCGAGGAATCGACGTCTGCATTCACGAGCATCGCGAATCCGATGGATTGTACAGGAGCTCCAAGTCGTTGATAACCTCGTGTTTGCCAGTCTCGGTACTCCCACACGTGGTAAGACACATAGGAACTGGGCGTGACTATGGGATCCGTTGTGGTGCCTCCGGTGCTGTCTTCAGACCAGTACACTTGGAAGTGATATGATCTGCGCCACTCCCGATACGTGGAAGCGTGGAGTGGGTCAGGAACTGGAGCATCATCGGGAACGGGTCTCCAATTGCCCGGAGAGTAAATTCGAATCCATTCCACTCCTCTATCGATCTGGTACTCGAAATACTGGGGGTTCATAGCGGCAAGACAGGCTCTCGCGCGACAGCTAAAACCAGTCGAAAGTCTGCGGCAAAGACACACATGCATTGCAAACCGCGCACATCCGCTGGAGAGTGAGGCAACTTTTCAAACTCAAGGTGAAACACAGCAACGAGGTCTGGAATGTCCGACTCCTAGGTTTCACTGTCGTTGATGTCGCGCACACCTGCAATGATAGTGTCCTGGTCGTCTACGAGCACAAGGGGAAAGACATTTCCGCCCATGGCGCAGGATGGCATGACAGTAGTGTTTGCAAGTTGCCGATGGGGACAGCGATGGACGGCCAGCACGTTTGGAGGGGAACACTGTAAAGGGCCGTCGAGATCGCCGCGGCGCTGAAGCGGATGCTGTCCGAGATCGTTTGGATGAGCGCCCCGGACTACGTGGTTCTTCATCACGGGAATGGTCAGTGCTGTAGATCGAGCGGCGTGTGCGCTGCGATTTCGAAGAGGTAGGGCAGGATTGTCCGCGAGGGGCTGAGATCGAGGGGCTGCGTACCGAGGGCATAAACTGTGGGTGTAGAATCACCGGTGGTGGTGGCGGTGGTGGAGGAGGAGGTGGAAGAAGCACTGGGAAACTTGGCGGGGGCGGAGGCGACGTAGTCTGCCGAATGGGTCTGTCGAGTAAAGCCCCGGGTCCATGAAATTGTAACCACGTCGGCTGTGCTCCATGGGTCCAGGTGATGTACGTCTGTACAACTTGTTCCGACATGATTTGAGCAACTCAGTCATGACTTCACTTCATGTCAACGGCATCACCCAAAACGGCAAGCAAAAGTAAGTCACGTGCAAGCAAGCAAATATCATGTGATCAACAACAAGAGCCGAACACGCCGCCACGGCCTGCCATTTAGTCCTCCGATGGTCACTGCTGC